TCCATACCAACTCTCTGTCCCCGAAGCCGAAGAAATGAAACGGCAACTCGGTGAACTCCTTGAAAAAGGGTTCATTAAGCCAAGTTCATCCCCCTTTCGGAACCAGCTGCCTTTTCGTCAAGAAAGGTGGAACTTCGGAACTCCGCATGTGCACAGACTACCGCGCCTTGAACCGGATCACGATCAAGAACAAGTACCCCCTACCTCGGATTTCCGAGCTTCTTGATCGTCTCCGTGGAGACAAGTACTGTACCAAGATCGCCCTTTGTAGTGGCTTCCACCAGATCCGTATCCGCGAGGAGGACACTCACAAGACCGCCTTCCGCTCTCGGTTCGGGCACTACGAGTTCCTCGTGATGCCATTCRGACTCACCAATGCCCCCGCTACCTTCCAATCCACCATGAACCACATCTTCCGCAACCTCCTCGAAGTCTGTGTYGTTGTCTACCTTGATGACATCCTTGTCTTCAGCCCCACCTTCGAGTCCCGCCTTCAGCACCTCCGCCAAGTCCTCGCGATCCTCCGAGAGCAAAAATTCTACGCCAAGCTCAACAAATGTACGTTTGCCGCTTCGAGCGTCGAATACCTCGGCCATATTGCCTCCGCTGAAGGCATCCGTATGGACCCCTCAAAGGTCACAGCCCTCGTCGAGTACCCCCCACCCAAGACCCTCCTCCAACTCCGTTCCTTCCTTGGCCTTGCCAACTATTACCGCCCGTTCATTCGCAACTTTTCCGAGATCTTGTACCCTCTCCACGAACTCACCCGCAAGGACGAGCCTTTCCATTGGAACGATCGCCGCCAACAAGYTTTCGACTTACTCRAGCAAACCATCACCACGGCCCCTGTCCTCAAGATCGCCGACCCCACTCGCCATTTCTATGTCACCACTGACGCCTCCGACTTCGCCATCGGAGCCGTACTGTCCCAACATTTCCCCCGCGACACCGCCGAGACCCCCCCCATCAAGGGCTCGCCCACTCACCCCGAGGCTCCACCTGGCGAATACCCTATCGCCTTCGCAAGCAAGAAGCTCCTTCCCGCGGAGATGAATTACCCCTCCAACGAGAAGGAACTCCTCGCCGTGATTCACGCCCTCACAGTCTGGCGCCCGTACCTCGACGGGCAATACTTCACCATCCGCGCTTACAACACCATCGTCTCCTCCATCCTCTCCAAGAAAGATATCACTCCACGCCAAGCCTGCTGGCTAGACTTTCTTGCCCAATTCACATTCACCATTTGCCAGACCCCGACAAAAGCAACCGCGTTGCCGATGCCCTCTCGCGACGACCCCACCACAAAACCCCCGAGAAAGTCTACGCCACCATGACTCATATTCAACTCCTTCCATCGCTTCATCATCGATACACCCAAGGCTATCTCTCCTGCCCAGACTTCGCCACCATTTACAACAAGCTCCGCGATCTTGACTCAGTTCCCGACTACTCCCTTCACAACAATCTCCTCTACATCGATACCAAAGGCACTCGCCGACTTTGCATCCCCGACGCACGAGGCCTCCGTACTCAGCTGTTGGCCAAGCACCACGACGCCAAGACCGCAGGACATCTCGGTTCCCAGAAGACCTTCGACACCATGTCCCGCTACTTCTACTGGCCTTCCCTACTCGCCGACGTTAAGGCATACATTCGCTCGTGCCCCACGTGTCAAGCTGTCAACCCCTCGAACCGGGCCAAGCCCCGCAAGCTCCAATCATTGCCCATCCCAACTCACCGGTGGCAATCCATCTCCATGGACTTCGTGTGCGGCCTCCCCAAGACTGACCGCGGGCATGATTGCATCTACGTCATTGTCTGCCGCTTGACCAAATGTGCCCACTTCATCCCTTGCACGACCTCGCACAGTGCCAAAGACGTCGCCGCACTCTTCTTCGACCATGTTGCTCGCCATCACGGCCTCCCCGAGAACATCATCAGTGACYGTGATCCTCGCTTCCTCTCACAATTCTGGAAACACCTCTTCACGGCCTACGGAACCACGCTCAAGTATAGCACTGCATTCCACCCACAGACCGATGGACAAACAGAGAAGATGAACGATACACTCCAAAGAATCCTGCGGAAGTATTGTCATCCACACCAACACGATTGGGATCAGTTGCTCACAGCCGCCGGAATTGCCTACAACAATGCTGTCTGCCCCTCCACTGGCATGTCCCCTTTCTACCTCGACCTTGGCTACCATCCCCGCTTGCCCTCTGATTTCTCCCTCCACCCCTTGCCCCTCTCTCAATGAATGGATAGGAACAATGAACAGACTCCTCAGAGAAGCAGTCGAAGCCCTTGAAAGAACACAAGAACAACAAGCCAACAAGACTAACAAACACAGACGTGACGTGTCATTCAAAGTAGGGGACAAAGTCTGSSYTTCTGCCAAACGCTTTGAACCCGAACAAGGCTTGTCCAAGAAACTCTCGAACAAGTGGCTCGGTCCCTTCCCCATCATTGAACAAACCTCCCCCGTCAACTACAAACTCCAACTCCCCCCTGACATGAGTCGTGTCCACCCAGTCTTCCATGTCGAGTACCTAAAAGAATACCATGAATC